ACATTTTTGTAAATTTTTGGAATGTCTCTGCGAAAATCAAAGTTTTCTCGGGACTGTTGCTGAATGTGATACTAATGAAAAGCTTGCAACTGAAAAAATATGCAAATGCAATTCGATCCTTCATATTGATAGCAAATTTTCAACTAGAGTCGCTCTCAATTTGATGATACTATCTCTGTACGGAAACAATTTAAATTTCGATACAGTAAAATACGATTGTTTCTTGATTTGTACTTTGACACACGAAAAAGATATAGTCATCAGTTAGTCGATACAAGTTAATTGTATAAAAAGTTAGTGTGTTTGTATTCTCCAAAATTTATTCTTGTTTGATTTTTGCACAGAGACGTATTGAATTTTAAATTCAGTCGTTTAACAACTTTTCTAGTAAATTCATTTTTTTATTTTTTGTATACACGATAAAAATGTCTGACACTTTTTTATCCTTTATGTCTACTAACCCCTTCTTTTTCAGCTTTTAATACAAGGGATCACATTTTGTTTCAGGTTATTTGCAGAAATTTTGTAGACTGAATCTCTGTTGCCAAAATGAAGAGTCATCAATCTCAAGAAATTTGATATTATGTTTCTAATCGTTTTAGTTTCTGTTTCAGGAATCCTCGTGGGATCAAATTTTAAATCATTGAATTGAAATGTTGATAAAAACGTATTGTTATATTCTTCTATTCTTATTGTACGTTATATATGTATGTTCTTTTCAATTTCTGTTTCAGAAAGAATCCTAGGATCGAATTAATGCTCGCTAAATTATTCTAAATTATTAACTGTCCACTGATATGATATTATGCACTGAGTTTCTCTTTCAGGGATCATTCTAGAATCAATCTACAAGTTCATCTGAATGAATTATTTATAATCTGTAAAACGTTTTGTTATGATCCTCCCAGTTTCTGTTTCAGAAGACATCATATGAAGATTTCTCTTCACCCGAAGATCATTTTATGAAGATTTCTCATCACCCGAGGATTGTCATGGAGCCGAACGGGTTTAAAAAATAACTGCGTTATTCATGGGCGTAGCTAGGTTATCAGTCAGGGGGGAGGCAATGTAATTTTTTATTATTTAAACAATTATTATTTCTTTATTAATTGAGTATATATCGTGGTGGTACGTTATTCATTTCACAAATTGCAGTAATTTGGAGATAATGTATACAATAATTTTATAGTAATCACTTCAGTATACTCATTTCAATACATTAGTCAGATATCATTTATAAATATAGAATGAAGTAGCTGTATATAAAAAAAGTTAAATAATACAATAACATAACTAGAATAACATAAATAGAAATACATAAGAAAATTTGCAATGGCCTATAATAATGTTATAATAAAGTAATAATGGTCAGCTGATAAAAAAAATAATATTCAAATCATTAATGTGTGCAAATAAGTATCATCGGTAGATTCTAATACAGAGTAGAAAGAACGAAAACCACACCGGTATGTTTATGATAGAGAAGAAAACGTGGTGGT